TTTTGGTTTATTGTAAGTGGCTATTGTTCGGGACGAACAATACTAAGTAGGGGGCAGTGTCACGCCACTCGTTCTCTCGAACCTTCGTGAATTGTCGGGAGATTACTAGATATAGTGTTTGTCTGGTATATATATAAGACGCTCACAACGTGATAATGTGTGTAGGTAGTGAGTAATTGAACTGCAATCAGAAAGTATTGTTGAAGTTAACGTTCGTTGTTATAGAGCGACTGTTGAAAATAAGTGTATCGGTAAAGTTATATTCAGAAAGAAAAAAACAGTTTTATTAAGTAAGGACTTGTGTCGCTAAAGTTTCGTCGGAACGAAGTTACGGAAAATCAATTAACAAACGGAGACGTAACAGTATTATTATTATTTCTTTACTCTTAATAATGAAGTATTTATGAGAAGCCTATTTTGTAAATTCTTTCTTATATTAAGAAAGGTTTGATTTTGCATTTTTTAAGTTTGTTTGTTTGTTTTTGAATTTCGCGCAAAGCTACACGAGGGCTATCTGCGCTAGCCGTCCCTAATTTAGCAGTGTAAGACTAGAGGGAAGGCAGCTAGTCATCACCACCCACCGCCAACTCTTTTACCAGCGAATAGTGGGATTGACCGTGACATTATAATGCCCCCACGGCTGAAAGGGCGAGCATGTTTGGTGTGACGGGGATTCGAACCCGCGACCCTCAGATTACGAGTCGAGTGCCCTAACCACCTGGCCCATTTTTTAAGTTTAAACAACGTTATGTAACCGATTTTCACGATACATGCGATAATTTTTATCTTGTATTGTAAAATTATTATTGCAGTAATCTTTTTCCCATGTTTAAATACTTGTATATTTTGTTTACATACATTATTCTTGTGAATGTTGCATTGTATATTGTATCTAAATTTAGTTCCAATAATTCAAGTTTGTTCTCTTTTTACGAAACTTAAAACATATACTACATCATGAATTTGGGGAGACTTAAATGTATAGTACGAGATCAGTGGGGGAATAGGTATTGTTACGACAGCGGAAGTCACGTGAATAGGTATCTTGAACTTATGTTTTGATCAGGTGCAAAAAAAGAAGTTTGTGTGAACTGTCGTAGTGATTTCAAGGAGGTCATTTTCGAAGTTCCAAAGGGTCAAGACCTGCTGTTAAGTGCTGTATTTTGATATATTTCCATTTTTGAGATTTTGTTAGAAGCTCCTGTGTTTTTATCTAAACAGCTAGAATGATACAGACGTTGAAGCAATAGCTTCTGCCAGAGTATGAAATGTTAGCTTCACTCTAGTTGTTATCTTGCTTAATAACACAGCAAAAAGGTTTTGTGGCCTTTACTAATCATGTTCCACTAACTAGAGAAGATGTAAATGTAATGTTTGGATCAAAGTTTCTGGCTTTTTATTTGGCAGAAGAGACACCTACATGTAGATTGATGGAGGACAAAGCAGGATCTGTACTTACTTTGTGTTTTTCTCCAAAGTAATGTTTGTCCTGTTTCACTTACGGATCTTTACTCTACACAAAAGTATGTTTATCTCACCTGTAGATGATCTCCTGTGTTACCCAAAAACAATGTGTAAGTTACTGCAACAAACACTACAACTGTATGGTTTCTCTCCAAGGTTAATTAAATCATTACATTTGTAAGTTACCATCCTTTGCTACTGTATATCTTCCAAAGTCACAAGATGTTTCTCCAGTGTAACATTGTTTACATATTTTATTGTAACTATAACTTTTACAGTCAAAGAACCACACACATAACAAAAAAAAACGTGTATCAATTGTTGTTTCAATAAATATCTTTCATTACACAAACACTGTTTATCTACTCTATGGATAAAAGTTCTCATCACGACCTGTACTATTTATCTTCTAACTACATATACTGGTTTCATATCAAGAATTTGTATCATATATAAACTTCAAAATTTGACTCCAGTGCATTCATTCCTTTATCCACAACCTAAGAGAAATGTTTAATCCTCAAGTGTATTTGCTATGCAGTTTATTTCCAACAAACTTGTAAACTTCATGTATATTTTTATTATCTTCCTTCAACACGTCACCACTTCGACTTTAGAGATTTGAAATTTTCCTTTAACTCTATGTATTTTTAAATACCTACACTTTCCTTACTAAACAGCTGTACAGTGTGTATTCATATGTTTTCTATGTTACTATTTCTTACAAATTCCAAACAACAAAGTAGTTACTCTCCAGTGTGTGTTATGTGAATTCATCACCACAAGTTTCCCAATAGTTTTAAAATAAATTATTCTGAATTATTTAATATACATTACAAAACTGTTTGGTTCTCCTTATTCTGTATCACTTCATGTGTTCTAATGTGTGTTTCTTCTCATGTCTGTTAAGACCATTTTCACATGTAAATGTTTTATCACAAACTACACAACTGTATGGTTTTTCCCCAGTGTATTCTCTCATGTCGTTTTAATTCACTATTGCTTAGAAATACTTTACGACACACAACACAACTGTATTGTTTCTCCCCAGTATGTGTTTTCAGATGTACTTTTAAGTTACTATTTGTTAAAAAACTTTTTCCACACTCTAAACAACTGTATGGTTTCTCCCCAGTATGTGTTCTCAGATGTACATTTAAACTACTATTTGTTAAGTATGTTTTTCCACACTCCAAACAACTATATGGTTTCTCCCCAGTATGCGTTCTCAGATGTACTTTTAAATTACTATTTTTAAAAAATCTTTTACCACACACTAAACAACTATATGGTTTTTCTTCAGTATGTACTTTCTCGTGTTGTTTTAACAGGCAATTACTTCGATATCCTTTATTACACACTACACAAATGTACGGTCTCTCTCCAGTGTGTAATCTCTTATGTGTAGTAAGACTACTTTTAGTCTTAAATGTTTTATCACAAACTATGCAACTGTACTCTTTCTCTCCAGTATGTACTCTCTCGTGTCGTTTTAAATGATTATTGTTTAGGAATCCTTTATGACACACTACACAACTGTATGGGTTCTCCCCAGTATGTGTTTTCATATGTTTGTTTAAACTACTATTTGTTAAAAATTGATTCTTACACACTACACAACTGTATTGTTTCTCCCGAGTATGTATTCTCTGATGTATTTTTAAATTAGTATTTGTTAAGTATGTTTTTCCACACTCTAAACAACTGTATGGTTTCTCCCCAGTATGTGTTTTCATATGTTTGTTTAAACGTATATTAGTTACAAATTTATTCCCACACACTAAACAACTGTATGGTTTCTCCTGAGTATGTGTTCTCAGATGTATTTTTAAAGTACTATTTGCTAAGTATGTTTTTCCACACACTACACAACTGTATGGTTTCTCTCTAGAATGTGTTCTCAGGTGCATTTTTAAATTACTATTTGTTAAAAAATGTTTTCCACACACTACACAACTGTATGGTTTCTCCCCCAGTATGTGTTCTCAAATGTACATTTAAACTACTATTTGTTAAATATGTTTTCCCACACTCTAAACAACTGTATGGTTTCTCCCCAGTATGTGTTCTCAGGTGTACTTTTAAACCACTACTTTTAGAAAAATGCTTACCACAAGCTACACAAGTGTATGGTTTCTCTCCAGTGTGTACTTTCTCGTGTTGTTTTAACACGCAGTTGCTTCGATATCCTTTATTACACACTACACAAATGTATGGTTTCTCTCCAGTGTGTATTCTCTTATGTGTATCAAGATTTCTTTTAGTCTTAAATGTTTTATCACAAACTACACAGCTGTGCGGTTTCTGTCCAGTATGTATTCTCTCATGTTCTTTTAAATGACTAATGTTTAGAAATCCTTTATGACACACTACACAACTATATGGGTTCTCCCTACTATGTGTTTTCATATGTTTGTTTATATTATTATTTGTTAATAATTTATTCCCACACACTACACAACTGTATGGTTTCTCTCCAGTGTCTGTAATATCATGAGTTTTGAGTTGACTGCTTCTTGCATATTCTTTGCCACACATTGAACAACTGTAAGATTTCTCTTCAGCGTGTATCTTCTGATGTGTATAAAGACGGCTTTTAGTCTTGAATACTTTATCACAAGCTAAACAACTGTAAGGTTTATCTCCAGTGTGTACCTTCTCATGGGGTTGACTGTTACTCCTAGATTTCTTCCCCCACACTTTACAACTGTATAATTTCTCCTGCACATGTATCCTCAGGTGTATTTTTAAAGCACTTTCTGATAAAAATTGTTTGCCATATTCTTCACATCTGTACAGTTTCTTACCAGGATGTGACCTCACAGTGAAGCTACAGCATGCAGTAACAATGTGTGTAACAAAGAATTAGAAAGTAAACATCATCTGGACTTAAATGACCAGTTTCTGAATCCAAGTGATGGTAATATATCTGATAAAACGTTGTTGATGGTAAATAACCAGAAAATATGTAACATTTCCCAGATTTTTGTTTACAATTTGATGTCCAGGAAACTGTTTTCCAGAATAGTTGTTCAAGTGTGGATCTGGATCTACAATAAAAAGATGCATTTAAAGAAACAAAAGGATTAATGAATATATATACATTTAATGATTTATTAACTGAATAAATAAATAACTATGATTATGGTTTAACACAGTCAATTAAAAAAAATAATTAAAAATGTATATATATATATACACCAAAACAGATCAATGGTAAATAGTTATTCTGTCAAATACCACCAATGACTTTAGATAAACCATAAAGACAATTCTGTGTTATAAACTTTATTTTATAAAAACTGTACATTATTTAACACAGTACAGTAAAAGAGAGCTATATCCAACAAGGGATGACTTCAGCTTACATAGATAGTTACACCATTTTTATACTACAGGCTGTTTATATAGTCCCTATCTGTTTCAGTGAAATAATGGGTTTTATTGATTGGTATTGGTGCAAAAGTGTGTGATGGTGGTTACATTGCGTATTCAAAGAAAGAAATTAGAGAGAAGTTTTAAAGAAAATTTCATAAGCCAGGTCCTACAGACAAGACAATACACTAATTATTGAATAAATCAAAAGAACGGGAGCCGTTAATGATGAAGCAAGATCTGAACGTCTATCAAACGAAAGTTAAGGATCTGCAAGACTTACGTACACGCATTGTAACGGCTGTTCACAAAAATCACCCCTGAAATGCTCCAGGATGTGTTCAGAATTGCTGCAGAAAGATTTGAGCTCTATAGAACCTTATTCTTAAATATTCAGTAAATGTACACCTTCTATCATGTTATATTTGAAATTAATAGTTAACTATTATTTCTCTGAAATAGATAGACTTTATAAACACCCTGTATTAAGTCTACCATCACATGGTTAATGGATATAGTTATTGAAGTTTACACTCACCTGATAAACCTTCTAACTCAGAGTTAATTTGTTGAAACTCCTCTTTTGGTTCACTTTTCAAACTCATAACATCATGTTGTGAACAATCAACAGTTTCATCATCACTCTCATTAAAATTGGAAATAATGTCATCGTTTGTTGAATCAACACTTTGTTCAGTCTTTACTTGGACAAATGTGTTCTAAAACAAACAAAAAGATCACTGCAGAACACAAATACTACACGTAAAACCTGAAAGCTTACAAATGGTATTTTTGTTTTTGAATCATAACTGGTAAATTTCCTTTGTAAACTAAGTAACATTTTCACTAGAAAACTGATTTACATAACAAACACACAAAAAAGGAATAATCAATCTTTGTACACATGATGAAACCAACAACCACCCCATCTGGATCATCCAATACTGAACTTTATAAATTTTGTTTAATATACCTTGTTGAAAATGAAATATGTATATTTTGAAACATTTGTTACACACACATGTCAAATGTTTATTGTTGTTATCATCAGTCTACTGTTTATCAAAGTTATATATTCTTATTCATAGCTGAACATTTTTTTTTACAAATGTTAATTAATAAAAAACAAAATTATCATCTATAGTAAGATATCATACAACTTGAATGTTGTATACATGTTCTCTAAAAATATCTAATTATTTTGTCTAATTAAAGAATCATAACAGTTTTAAATCTACAGTTACCTCAGTATCATTACGAACTTCGTACTTTTCTTCTTTTATTTTAAAATCAAAGATTGTAAACGAAGATCCTTCTTGTGGGCTAGTAGCTTCTGTTGTTACTAGAGGTATAAAATAAATACTTTTACTACAATATACATTTTAAAATAACTTCTGTAAATCACTACATTATAACAATTTCTCACTGTGAGTTGACACATTTTCTTTACTTTATCACAGTTCCACCTCTCTCGACTTGACCATCGTACAGATACACCAACATTTAATTATAATAAAGTAGACTGATAAACGATTAAGTTTAATTATGTGTCATATTATTCCTCCAAGTGCAGTTTTTGATGTGCAAATAATTCACAAATAAGTTATTCTAATAATATTTCTTAGTATGTATAATATTTATAATATGTAGTATAGGATGTCCATATATTATTGAACTTTTTAAATGAATGGAATGGGAACCACACCAGATAAAAGTACATAGCAAATCAAGTACATTCAAAACCAAGGCCACTGAGAACCAACATCCATGTGGGGTAGGAAAAAGGATCATACCATCTTCACCTCAAGTTCATCAGACCAGAGGGAATTTTGCACTCCCCTATCTATGAACGGGACACATGATAGCGATGTGAGAAACTGATTAAACCATCCGGAAACCTGGCATCTGGTATCATAAAAATGTAATGTAAACCATCTCACTCAAAACCAGCTGCCTTTTCTCTAGTCTTTCACTGCTAAATTAGGGATGGCTAGTGCAGATAGCCCTCATGTAGCTTTGAGCAAAATTAAAAAAAAAAAAAAAAAAATGCATAAATAG